GACTTGAAATAGAAACGAAATGGTGAAATTTTTGCATAATATTTTTACTAACAAATACAATTAAATAAATCAGGCTTAATAACAAATGGCTAGCAAACATCTCAAATAAATTCCAGCGGTTGTGGAATAATCAGAATTATATAAGTAAACATTTCAAATTAATTCTGATAAAATGATAACAGTTATATAAGTAAACCATTGCAAATGAATTCTTATATATTATTTATTTTTTTTGCGAAATGATAACATCTGATACATTATTTATTAGTGTGAATGATAACAATTATATAAGTAAGCATTGCAAATGAATTCTGATATACTGTTAACTGTGGAATGATAACAGTTATCTAAGTAAGTGCTACAAATAAATTCGAATTTTCCGAATTAAATTAGACAGCTGATAGGATTTGTTATTCGATTTACCGGAATAGTTAAATGTATCAGTGGATTCATTAATATATTCCTAATATTATGCTTAAATAACTATCCGGATATGGTAATATTTTCATCTAATCTATCAATTTCTTCCTATTATATACAATGCTAATTTAAGATTTTTGGTTAAAAATAACTAGTAAATAAGAGAAGGGAATAGCACAATTTTTGAATGTATTAATTAGGAAAGAATTAATTTGCTATGAGAAGGAAAGAAAAAAAATATTTTTGTTAAATTTACCTGAGGATATTCGTTTGCAATAGATACACCGGAATGTTCATCATTAGTAAATGCATCAAAGTTTGATTGATGATTATTTAGAGGATATTGTTGTGCCTGATACAATGTAATTTTGGCCATAAGTATTAAAATGCCAAGAAAAAAATCCATCACCGCCTTGGGCGCGTTAGGCAATATACATCTTTCATCGTCCTCTTTTTTCTCCACCTCTACTTAATACCATTAATATTAATTAATGAATTAGAAAATTAATTAAATATAGTTTCGAACATTTTTTACAAACGATAAAAAAAATTTCAAAGTACAAACAGATTGTAATTTGTTTTAAATTTAAAATATCATATGGTGCATGTTTATACATAAATACTATTAAACAATAAAAGTAATAGATAAACTGTTGATTAATTAATTAATTAATTAATTAATTAATGCCTAAAAATAACAGAAATCATTCATTTATTGAATTAAAAATTTTTTTTGACGCAATAAATCGAACAATATTATTTCGCTATTTATTTATTCATAATTTTTTGCCTATGTAAATTCAATTCCAGTTTTTTCTAATTATTCAATTTCAAATTTAGCAGAGGAATTTTTATTTTTGAATACTTAGTTATTCATTCATCGATTTAACAGTTGTATCTTTTTTTTTTTTTTTTAAACCCAATGTAATTAAATATCATTATTTACATGACATCAGCTTTTCAATATTATGAACTAAAGAATAAAGCAAATGACCGTCATGGATAATGTCCATCATCATGGAATATTACGTACTTCATTGGAGTGCTATTTTAAATTTCTGTTTTTAAAGTTGAAAATCAAAAACAGGTTCTGATTTTTAGCTTAGAGTTCTCGGACTTTTTTTGAAAAATAATTTACGCAAGTCATTTAAAACATCAAATTTTGTTGTTTTTTCTTAATTTTAAATTTCTAAATTAACAATCAAATAAATTTCTCCATAACAATATGAATTTAAATGATGAATTTGCATAAATTATGAAAAGATAAGAAATATATGCGTGAAAAAAGACGATTGGCATAAATTATTACAGGAATTAAAATTTAGTTTTAATATTAAACTTCAAAAACAAAAACGTGAAAAAAAAGATATATCGTATTCTTTTAAGACGGACATTACCTGTGACAGTCATTTACTTTGACCTACAATTTGAAATATTAGAAAGGAGATATCATGCAAATTAATGCATTTAATAAAAAAATAATTAAAAAAAAATGCATTCCTAAGGTAATTATAATTATAATGAAGAAAATATGTATAAGTACTATTTACTTATCTTTATACGATTTTGGTCACATAAACTTTAATCATTTAAATAAGAATGAATTTTGCAGAACAACAAGCTACGATGCATTGATAAATAAATATGATATTGGCATGAAAAATATCATATCAGCTTATCATTTGCAGAATAACATACTGTTTTTGATGAGTAATTTGGAAAAATGACGGGAAATAAAGTTCGAATATTTCAAATCGATTTCATTTTGGACAAGAAGCACTAAGCTTCCATTTAGTTTAAAATTAGGAAAAATTGAAAGCTAAAAAAACAATTAAAAATGATGAATATATCAGTCAAATTAGAAAAGGAATAGGCTGGTAGCTAGCTAACTTATCATGTAATGTTTACAATAAATCTGAGCTGCAAATTCTTGGCAATTAATTGGATTTTATTCATTATCTATTAATATTAAGTAGTAGTAGTAGTAGTAGTAGTAGTAGTAGTAGTAGTAGTAGTAGTAGTAGTAGTAGTAGTAGTACGAGTAGTAGTAGTAGTAGTAGTAGTAGTAGTAGTAGTAGTAGTAGTAGTAGT